GCTAACATCAGATACCAACAGAAGCATCGAACAAAACCCAAAGTTTCATACATCATTGATAAAAACTCAACTCAGTCAAGACTGGACTCCTGCTTCCTATCAAGTGTTAGTGGAGAGGGTGCTTCCTCTCCCTGGTTTAAATGTCATGAACTACTATTGCCGAAGAGAGAACCAAAGAGCTAAGAAGAATGTTCATCTTCTATTAAGGGTGTTGCAAGCAATGCGGCTAGAATGAGCTTGGAAAGAGCGTGGATATATTATAAAGCAGTAATGGGAAAGTGATTATACCTGGTCTTACGGTGTAGGAGTCTAAATAAGCTGAACTGCTTCGTAATTTTTAAAAAGCCGAATTTTGGAGAAAACGAATAATTTTCTAAGGATTTGAGGCCTCAGTTCAGTTAGCTAGCCCTTAATGGATGAAAATGAAAACATTAATCCATCCACCTAAAAAGACTGAATATCACCACAGTCCAACCACCCCTGTCCTCACAAAAACGTGTTGATTGATCACGCACCCCTTCGGCGTGAACGTGAACAGGAGACGTCGAATACGATGTGGAGTTTGTAGGAATCTGCGAAGCGCCTTGACGTCCAGAAGATGAGCTCACAAGGGAACTGGTTTCGTCTACAGTTCCGATCGAAGGTTCAATAGCTTGGTCTTCCTCGTACTGCAGATAGATATCCAAAACCTAAAATGAAAATCCCCAAATATTGGAAAATAAAGATGTTACAATACAACTGGCAGGTCCTAGAACGCAACGTCCATTATTATTCGTTTCAACGGAGGCATACCATTATTGTTGAAGCCCATTGGCGTGGCTTATTACAACATTCAAGTGTTCAAATAATTCCCAAGTATGAGACCCAGTATTATTCACTGAAAAGCACATACAACTTCGATATTTACTTAGTCGGCCTATAAAATGAGCTAAAACCAACTTCATCATTTTTAACCGATATTTGACAATAAGAGCACCTGAAGAAAGAGTATAATAGCAAGCAACCTAAAGAATGATTCTCGCTGTAACACAATCTCACGCTTGATCTACAAGATACA